GTAAGTTTATCTGAGGGCATAGTCGCTCTAAGACAGGGAGTAGATGGAACACTGTGGTCTAGAATTCCTTATGCAAATTGGAGTAGGAATCCAGTAGAGTTGCTGTTGCATACATGTTTAATGGAGGTTGTCGGTCTAACTGATACATCCACTGTGGAAACTGTAGGGGCCCTTGTTTCTGGTGGTGAGAATGGTTTGGGCCGCGAAGATGAGCTATTGGAGCAAGTAGATGAAATGTTTCCGAGCAGGGAGCATAATACTCTATCCGTATTAGTTAGAGATCTTGGAGGGGCTTTCTCTCTTGGAAATGAACGTCTGATAATATCTCGTCTGTATTTTCACGAGGACATAACATCCCATCCATATCCTCCTGTTGCAAATGGACGTGTGAAATCAGGAAAGCTCAAGACTGTCTTCCGACAGAGCTGTTCTTAACCTATTAAAAGCCTCTACTGCCTCTTGGTTTCAATCCAAAGCAGTCTTGTTATCTTTCGTCATACTACCTTTAGTCAGTTCAGTCAAGGGCCCAGCTATATTAGAAAATCCTCTAATAAATTTCCTGTAATAGTTTGTTGCTCCTAGAAAACTTTGTAACTCCTTAAGTACACATGGTTGTGGGTACTCTCACATGGCCTTGACACTGCTGCAGTTTAATCCCATGCTCTGTGACTACATGTCCTAAGTACTCCACTTCCCGCTTAAAGAATGGCCACTTTGATAGCTTTAGTGACAAATTAGCTTACTGTAATCTTCCTAAAACTCGTTGAAGTTTTGTGCAATGGTGATCCCAAGAATCGCTCCAAACAACAATGTCATCCAGATATACAAAACCAACATCATCAACTAAGCCTGTAAGCACTTGATTTGATTCTCTGAAAAGGCAGGCGTATCCTTAAGCCCAAAATCATGCATTCAGTTAAAAGCGGTGAATTATTCAACTGTTGAGCGAAAAGCTCTTGCCATTATTTTTGGTTTCAAGATCAACAGGACTTTTGTACAGGGATACCCAGTTCTAATACATACAGATCATAGACCACTAAGATACTTGTTTGATAACAAGAATGGTTCTGATAGACTTGCTAGGTGATGTATGGCTGTAGCAGATTTTGACATTAGGGTAGAGTATCTCCCTGGCAAAGAAAATAGTCTAGCTGATGTTTTGTCACGAATAAGGGCAGCAGATCAGCCAT